CAATATAAACGTGTGGCAGAAGCATGCTGCACATTTTCATACGGGTTTGTCCATTGACCACAGTGTTTCTTAAACGGACAGTCAAAATGTGCATCTTCATGTGCTTGCAAAAAAAAAGCACGCTGAACCTTCAAAAACGATGCTGCCTTGGTGTGAACGGGGCCTAGTACCGTGTTTCCCCCGAAAATAAGACACTGCGGCCGCTCTTAACATGTAAAAATCAAATTACATGTGCAGCTACCCCGGAAGATCTAGCGCTATCTTCAGGGATTTCTGTAATATAAGACCTACCCAGAACTAGGTCTTATTTTCAGGGTAGGTCTTATATTACAGAAATCCTTGAATATAGTGCTAGGTCTTACTTTCGGGGTAGGTCTTACTTTCGGGGAAACACGGTAGGAGGCTGATCTGTTTCAACATCCTAGTCCTGGAAGTAGGTGCTGATCCTGGACGGTGTGAACCTAAACCAGAGCCTCAGCTTTTTGCACAAATCCTGCTCGATTATTCCTCCATCCGTCATCAGATCACTTGTCATCAGGGTAGGAGCTCGGATATGATTAAGCAAAGCACTGCTTCGCTACTATAATGACCGCCTCACACTGTGGAACAAAGCAGGGTAAGGCAGTAATAGGAAAATATCTGCAGGAGCCTATAGGCAAAACTGGCACCTAGTCCCATGTTTGTTTGTTTTTTGCACAGCTTCCACAATTCAGGTCCTCTAACAAAAGATCTGATGCTATGTTCACTGTGTTGTTCGCTATGGGGCAGGTAAAATAACATGTCGTACTGGCTAACTTAAGAAAAATAAAACCTCTACACATTCCTCTGCCAGCTTGGATTTACTCGCATCTTCGGTCTTTCTATTATTACAATTGTTTTTACTTCTATATATATTCCATTTGTTGCTCACCTTCTTAATATCTCGTGTGGCTATCAGTCCCCATCCTTTTCCCTCAGTCTTGATGATCTTGGTCTCGGGATATTGGCGCTTTGTAAAGCACTGATTCTGACACCTCACCCCGGCAGGACACACTTGAGGATGACACTCGTACATCAGCATACGGTTTAGACATTCGGAGTCAAATCCACAGGGTTTATCACTCGACGTCTTACAATTGCACTTAGGAATTTCGGAAATATCAGCAGTGTAAACTTGAACTTTGCCATACGGCTTATTCACCTGGAAAAACAGTTGGTGTACGAATGAATGGAACAGTAATGGAGGGGCCAATATCATTTAATTTGATCTGCGTAGTGTTTAAGGGCAGAACAAAACCACTAACACGGCTATTCACAGAAGGGTGAAGAGTTTGAAGGAGGAAGAGACGAGAACAATCTAGACAACATAGCTAAACCAAACTTTTTTTTACAAATCAGCTATTTTGGCCTAGATTGGTCACTTTTGCCTTCTCCAAACTCTTCATCCTTTTGTGAATAGCCCCCTAAATGTCAAGAAATGTATAACACTCCATCCGTTTTGTCAAATTCTTGTACCTTTATGTGCTTATATGGTGGTGGCTTTTTTTCGTTTTCCTGAGTTTCTTTTTCTTTCCGCTGTGACTTTATCTCACAGAAACGCTCTTCAGCTTCTTGCAAGGCTGTTAACAAAAAAACAGTAAAACAAATTGCAATAGTCTGATCGATTTGGACCCAAATCTGGATTCCATAAAACTTTACAGTATGGCTACAAGCCAAACTATTTTTTCGGGAATAGGGAGTGGTGAGAGTTTAGAACCACTGCCATGATTTTATTGCTGTCCGTGTACCCATTACGGGGACTCTGAATCGAATTTTAAAAAGTCAGGGTAAACCCAAAATCTTAAGTTACCATCTGAATATTACTAGGAGGGGAAATCTTCCCATGGGAACACTTGTTCTCAACAGAAAGTCTCCCTAAGAGACAGACCTCAAAAACAAAACTGACAGGAGTTTTAAACACCCCTAGTCTATCCAAAATGAAAGGTTTGCCTTAAGCTATACTTCTATATATCACAATTTACTGCCATGTAACATGGTCCCATTTAGAAAAAAAATTTGGGATCTCAAAGCAATGACTAACAGTCATTTGGGGTCCCAATAACAGTACTCAGCAGCCCAACAGGTTGAGCAATTCTGCCCCAATACTTAAATGTCAACAACGTACCATTTTTAAAGACTTTGCCGATGCTTTTTACTCCATGATGTTTGCTCCCTCGATCGCCCTCCATATACGGGAAAACTCGCGCGTGGTGGGTCCAGTAATAATCTTTAGAACCAAAAAAGAAAACTGGGAACTCTCCAATCTCATGTTTCATCTTCTGAATGTTCGTAGGAATGTTTTTGGGTTGACACACTTCTGCTGGCCACCATCTGGTTTTTAAACATAAAAGCAATAAAATACATATGGTAAACGTGTATTGAGCAGTAAAAGGCCCTAATGACATGAGCACTACTGAAAAGGAGGAGGGCACCACCCAACACATGTCTATGTCTAAAAGATCTTTAGATCAAGAAGAGTTTAGAACAATCATGACTATTAAAATTACCATGTCAGAGATATTTACCTACAAAAAAAAAAATACATTTTGTACCTATCACAAAAAATTTCTCTTGAAGTCCAACAAGGGACACAGGAAGTCCTTAAAAGAGAACTATGAGGTAAGTGTTTTCCCCCATGGTTCTCTTTAGGGTCACTGGAGGACATATACTAGCGTCCTCCCATGACCCAAAGCTCATTTTATCGCGATATCGATTACGTACTCTGAGAGCTAAGCACAATTACCTGTTTAATTATCTGCACTTATGTAATAAAAAAGTAGTTGTCTTTACTACAATGGGACTATTTTTAAATTAGAGCTTGCGGTATACTGAGACCGCCGCAGCCAGGACGGATCCCGACAATACTGTCGAGATCCACCCTGCTGCGTGACCGACAGCTGGCTCTGCCTACCTAGAGGTAGAGCCAGCTGTACCCCCAAACCACCCCCCGGTCCGGACTCCCAAACCCCCCCACCGTTCAGCACTGCACTGGAGGATCGGAGAGGGGAGCGGTCACCAACAGTCACAGCTCTCTGCATCAAGAAGTGAGCGAGCAATGGTATGTGTTCGCTCACTTCCCGATCTATTGAGCCGACGTGTGACAGTTTCATTGTCACAAGTTACCTTTTAATAACATGTTGAAAGGTCAGAGTAAATTAAATTGTGATGGGAATGCATACCTGTAGTTGCCCAGTTTGACCCAAATGATATCCTGGTATCGTGGTTTCTTCCCTCCTCTGCAGTCATTGCAAAACCAGGTTCCCTCTGGCATCTCAATATTCAAGCACTCTGGATGGAAAGCGGAGGGACAGGACTCACAGCACAAGAGATTTCCACCTAAACACAAAACAGAGACGACTTATAATTCACACTTCAGAAAAAAAAAAAAAAGCCAACAACTAAACACATATTTTCCAACAATTATGGGACAAAAATCTAAATTGATGTGTTTATCAAAATCAGGATGACTGACTGGAGCTGTATACTTAACGCAATATTAAACTCTCAAACTTTTTTCAATATTGAATCCAGATCAAACAAATATACATTGCCCAGCAAAATTATTTCTTCAGATTTTTGCCCAAGCACTTGGAATCATCATGTTTTCCTCAGCAAAAAAAAAAAAAAAAAAAATTCATATCATTATCAAATAAAATAAAATGAAAGAAAAGGCACTCACCTTTGGAACATACGAAACACCAGCTCACGTTGACATGGGAATGATGGCTGTTGCCCTTCTTAGCAGCAAAGTGTGCAGTACAGATTATGTTGGAAGGTGACAGCACTGTGCATCCTGCTGCAATACAGGACTCCCCACCATGGTAAGCAATCGGGCAGCGGACACAACGTATCAATTTATCTGTTAGACATGAACCACTGCTTAGAATTAATCATCAACAGCCAAGCACAATACTGAAATCACAGACAACATGCACAGGCAGACAATTTACCATATCAGCTAGAAAATTCTGGCCATGGCTCTCAGTTTATCAAAAGCAAGGACACTAAACTGCTGCGTCCATTCACAGCCAGGTGCTTCTAATCGTGCACAGGGGACGTTCCGAGAATACAAAGGCACTTCTGATCAGTTGTATTAATGCAAATTCTATTTTAGTGTAAACCAGTTTGGATGCAAATCGAAGCTAGTAGTGTATTCAATCTTATCATAATGATCAAGCTAGTAGTTGGTGTTCAGTTTAGACGGGTTTGAGCTCCAGTGGTGAATGTGTAGCTTACACTAAACAAAAACAAAATGTATCCCCTCCAAGCAATGCAAAGCTAATAAGTTACTAATTATTTCAAAGCATCCTCAGCAAAGTGGAACTTAAAAACAGTACTTACGTAAGTTGCCGTAAATGCCCCAAAAAGCAAATGCGATATTACACAGGGCAATGAGGATCATCAATAAACTGATACATTTAACTTTTCAGCTCTGCCCCTATTTTGTCTTTATAATTCTAACTGGGCATTGCAAATATAAAATATATTTATTGCAACACAAAGATTACAACGCATGGCAATGCGTCACAAAGCTTTGCCATGCGCTGCCACAGTTAATTTAAGTTTTTTTTGAAAGAAAAAAATACATTAAAAAATTCATGCATTTAGTAGAACTGTAAATGCCAGGTCCGTACGACGTACTGAGCTGGCCAGCTGGAAGCACTTTTGTAGCTCCGTACGACGTACGTCCTTGGCAGCGAAAGGGTTAATGGATTAGTAAACACTGATCAGGTTAATTTGTGTAGACACACTTAGTAAAAGAAGTGTAGCTCACTTTTTATTATTCTGATGCTGGAGGACTTTGACACGATGCAGCTTGCGCAGTGATGAAGAGGACAGCGGAAACCTTTGTTGTCAAACACAGCAAGAGGGTACTTGCGCAGACAAGCCTCGTGGTAGAACTTGCCACAGTTTAATGCACTGCACCGTTTGACTTCTGCATCCTTCTGCTTACATATAAAGCACGTGTGAATACCTGCACAGGGACAGAAAACACACTGTGTAAGGGGGGAAAAAAACAAAAAAACTCAAGATATGCTTGTCCACACTCGATAAATCATTGCAAGTGACTCTACAACCTTTATTCAGGTGGACTTCTACATCTCAGAATTTAGCTCTCGGAATTTAGCTCGCCATCACCAGCTAAACTAATTGGGATTTAACTCATCAAGGACTGGACTGTATTCTTTTCCCTTCACTTCCTGGTCACTACAGAAGGAAAATCTCCTCAAAGCTGACACAATAAAATGCCTTTCTTGATTGTTCATCGGCAAAGATAGCAAACCTCTAGATTCAAGTCCTGCCACTGGGAGGATGGACACCAAGAAAGTTTGATAACGTCAGTGGTAGTGGTAAGCTCAAACTTCAATGGAAGTCAGCAGTACTAGAACAGGTTAGGTTGGACTAGGTAGGGTCCCTGTGCGCCACAAATAATCCTACACAAAAACAAAAACCCAACAGGCCTCAACAAGCCAAATGCAGAAAGGTTGGCTCAGTTTTCTAAAATAATTATAAAAAGCGATTTTAGTCAGAAAAATATCTGTGGATAGTAAATTTCATACCATTCTGCTTCAAGGTGACCCTTTTTCACCCCATCTGAAGTTTCACATAGGTATTGTGGTTTTGTATGTATGTATCTTGAAGTGTAAAAGACCATGGACGAATAGAAAGAGGCCACTCACCGGAAGTACACTCTTCACAGAGAAACTGTCTGCTTGGCTTTGCAGAGAGCCCGATACAAGACAAATGGAAAGCAGAGAAGCACAGGCCTTCACACAGCAGGAGGTCCCCAGTTTTCTCACACATCTAAAAAATAAAAAAAATATGACAGTAGATTGAAAAGGGTTACTGCAAAATACATCAGTTTTACTGTTGAAACAGCCAATCATATCGGTCAATTAGCAGGCTCTCATTTCGTTCCTATACGCTCAGTCAAAAAAAACAAAACAATCTTTTGATTCTGTTGAATCAAAATCTCAGAAGGGATAAGGGCTGGTTAACACCTGGGCGTTTTACAGCGCGTTCCTAAACGCTGTAAAACAATCAACATGTGAAAACCAATGATTGCCTATGGGCATGGTTCCCACCTGGGCGTTTTACAGCGCGTGGGAACGCGCTGCAAAGCGCCCAAAGAAGTACAGGAGCTTCTTTGGGGCGTTTTGCCGCGCGTTGCCATTGGTATTCCCCAGTGTGGATCGGGGTTAACAAAGTGGTAACCCCGAGCCACACTCGGGAATACAGCATACAGGTCTTACCTTGTCCGCGATCCCCCGCTGTGTCTTTTTTTTTTTTTAAATAGTGAAAAGAAAGAAAAAAAAAAAAAAGCTCATTGAGCTGCAGACAGTCCCCGTATTTCTGTGATTTTCTTGGGCCTGTTGGCGGTTGTTTTCTGGTTGCCCAAACGCTTAGCTGCACTGCTACTGGACAGCCTGAAAATCAAGGACTTCAGAGTCCCTCAATGGACAAGAAAATCCTTTTCTTGGAGTCTGAGGGCCACAGGTCCCACTCCCCTGTTTGTGATCATTCTCTTTGTACTGCTTTTCTACGGAACGGATTGGGAATGGTTATTCTGGTCAGGCCTCCAGTATTCATTTGCTAGTGCCCAGTCCTCCTGCAGGCAGTAGTAAAACTTGTGTTGCACAATGGACTCCAAGAAAAGGATTTTACAGCGAGTACAAAAGTCCTATTTTAGCTGCCTAGAGTACCACAAAGTGAAACGTCCCAATATGCTCAGCAGGAGTTCTGGAGGTCCAGGATCCTGATAAATTACTACAAAGTAGCAACAAGCAATGAGAACATCCCACCCTAAAACACAGGAACCCGCTCAAAAAATGAAAAAAGGGCCTCAGTCATGAAGGGGTTAAATAATGCATGTGTCACTGCGCCAGGCACGAGGACAACTTTACTACATGAAAATACCTGACAGAGGCAAGATAATAGTCAATAGATTTTACTTTATTTAAATCATAACACAGATGTTTATAGCATATAATTTCTTGGTACACTATACTTTAGTTCTAACCAGTCAAATAGTGATGTGTGGGATAGTGTAATATTACCTGGCAGACAAGCTCCTTCTTTGAACTTCCTTTCTCACACTTCTTTGACAAGACAGACTCATCTGCGCTCTCTGATGGGGATTCAGACCTCTCATCAGACACCTACAATGAGAGTATGTTCTTCAGTAATAATCAAATACATTAGCCAGCTCCTTAAATATGATAAAAAGGGAGCTTGTATACACTCTTTATACCTCATTATCGGCCAGAGACAGGGGGGACACGCTCTTACGGACAGCACGTGTAACTGAGCCCAAATCTGAACTGCGATTTCTCTTCTTCAGCGGCTTACAAGCATCTGACAGTTCACACGCTACTGCAAAATAAACATTACAATTCGTAGCCTCAGGCGTTTAAAAAAAAAAAAAAAGCATTTACCCAAAACAGAAGAGGTATTATTATACTTACCTACTCGAAAGCCTGTTTCCGACATCTACTCCCTGTTCTGCAGGCTGTCAGAATATTAAGCTTTCAGGAGTGTCAGATGCCTGTCCCCCCCTGTTGCATGTTGTGGTTCATTCCGCACCCCTATTTCACACTGTTGTGTCCTAGAGTGACGTGGAGACTGGAGGATAGAACCATGGCAAGCAACAAGGGACATCAGAACCAGAAACTCCCAGGAGCATTGATTGCAAAGATTCTGACAGAGGCTGCAATGCTTTCATAGAGAGAAAATGTGAGCCACAGGCTGCCGGTGATGTGTTATATTTATTACAGGTCAGGGAGTGTCAGTTTTTTGTTTGTCTATTCCTGTCTGGGTCCGATAGAAAGCAGGACCACATAGCAGGTCTGATAGAAAGAAGGACCACATGACTGATGGTTAGGAAGACACCCAACCCACGGTTCACCAGACTGGAGTTCTGCTTTAAATGCAGTTCATTGCAGTGAAAAATGGCTGCACTCTTGCTCTCTGAATTCATTCTGTTATCTACGAGAATGCTGCAAAAGGCTGATGTTACATATCAGACAAATGATGTACAGAATAAGGAGGCCAAATTTACCCAACATGCATCTCTACACATTGGATATGTCCATGGTAGCAGGTCATTAAGCAAAAAAGAATTGGAATACTTACTTAATTGACAATCAGCCCACAATGAAAAAACACAATGATGTTCATTTGGTCCAACCATAAAAACTTGGGCTGTTCTCTTCCCAAAAATGAAACCATTTTTTTATATTAATGTTACCAGGTGCACCAAACTCTTGTTTGCTATAAAGATAAAACCAGGTTCCTTGGCTCCGTTGAAAGCAGATTATGCTTTCTATCGGCAGACATCAGGGAAAGAGCACACGCCCCCCCCCCAGACTAAAGATTAGTTTGTAGGGAGGGGATTTGTTTCTTTTCAGAACAGAAGAAAAAGCAAATCCTACTTCTAACATTAAGCCAGCCAAAAAAAAACCCCAAACAAGTAATGGAATCCCCCTTTAGCTTAGCCACCTCTATATTTCAGTACATAGCATGAACAGTGCATTACCTGGCTGGGCCTTTACAGGGGCACGTTCTCTGCCTCTACATGATTTTGAAGCCTTCTCATTACTGCTTTCCACTTGCTAAAGAGGGGGGGGAAAAAAACAAAATGCCACGGATGATAATATGCTAGTGACCACCAAGTCTATGCAAACAAACTGAAAATGCTGCTTATTGACATTTAAGAACAAAAACTGTGTACGCGATATTGCTGATTTGTGTGCCGTTCTTGCGTACTCAAGTGACAAAATAGCCTTGCCTATATGTACAAAAACAAATCCTTGGCTGCCATCTAGTGGAAGACTTTCAAAGCAGAACACCACTTCCAAAAGAAACGCATGCCATCTAAAGCAGGAAGTGATATGACGTTGGACGTCTGGAGGGTAATATGGATGGATGAACGTTGAGGGAGGAAAAAACAAAAAAAAGGAGGGGGGAGGCTAACTAGCACGATCTATGCCTTCTTACAAAATGAAACCAATGCGTGGCTATCGTGTAGTCTCTAATGAACCAATCAGGTGTTGCAGAGCATGGAATATTCATGACAGCGATGGTTCCTTATTAGAAATGGAGATGAGATTTCATTATGCTCCAATATTCTGACACGCTAAATACGGATGGACTGTGTGCATGGTGGCAGATTGGTTCAAATACATTTGTACAGCAAGCAGATCGTTTGCAGAGATTCCTTTATACATGATAGAATAGCTGCACCATTGGTCACACGTAAGTGGGATGATGTATGGACTTTGCTGCACATTACTCTTGACGCTGCACGAAATGAAGGATGCGCATCATATATACATATATTTTAGCAGATTGTCAATGGCGATTTGTGACACAGCGAATCCATTCATGTGTTGCTTCATTTACTACTCACCATATAGCAGGTTTAACCTAATTGCTATTGTGGAGCTACAAATACCAGGTTATTCCACTGATCAGGGTATCTTTGGGCTTTGGACTAAACAGCCACAGGAAGAACATCTTAGCAATAGTCAACTGGTAGATCTAACAGCATTTTAGAAGGCACCTAGTTAGGTGGTTTCTTCAAGTGCCAACTGAACATGTGATTTTAGTTTAATAAAGCACAGCGACCTCTGTTAAAACTGCCCCCTTCTTGTCATAAAAGAATACTAAGGCCGATAACACTGGTCTCCTAAAAAGTCTTATCCCCCGACTTTAATGCTAAGTCATTACACTGGAACAGTTATGACGATCCAAAGTTCTGATCAGGTAAACAAACAAATGCATGAGCCAGGAAACTAGCATTTGGAATAAGTTTCCCTCATAATAGAGCGGGAAAAGGTCAGCACTAGTTGGGGACCCTGACCTGAAGTATCAGACTGTGGTACCATATTTTGATTTAACGAAAAATTGTTTATATCAAGTATGCAACAGAACAACTTATTAAATACCATTTAAATACAAATCTTCTTTATGTTACTAAGGCCGGGGTGTAGAAAGTAATATAGAATTCAGAAGTCAGTCTGTCCAATCTAGGAGGCAGCAGGATTTTAAGAGCCAGCTCAACAACTAGCGACATCCTCATAAGTTAGGAAGCGGCTGCTATTTTTAAAGGAGCATTGGTGTCCTGGATTCTGGGATTGGTCCGGCCCTGCGCAAAGGAAAGCCCATATCTTACATGGTGTTATTGATGCATTTTTCTCTATTAACTCGAGTTTCAAAATTAGTAAATGGGATGCAGTACATGGCGGCTCTTTCTAAGATTTAAAAAAGGGGACTGCCATAGTATTTTTGACCATATGTTAGAAGTTCTATATCAGATTATTAGTATGATATGGAGACCAGTAACACAACAGGGCAGCTCCTGCTCTCTCAATACTGGCAGTACAAATTAAAAAGTTTAGACTGGGGACCTCACTTATTACTCATAGAAAATGATTTTTAAGATGCATTTTTTGTAGTGCAGGTCTGAAAATAAAAGATGCTGATTGTTTCGGTCAACTCAAATGGAAAAAGACCAAATGCTCTAGTGTGTTCACATGGACAGATGCCCAACCTCCATACAACGCTCCTGCTGGGAAGCCAACATATTTTATGTACTGGCTGTGAAGAGTTCAGTCATTTTGGCATATTGACCTCTTTATCATTTTTACTTTCGAACACTTTCCATACATCATTCAGCTTAACACTTGTAGCCATGAAGAACTCAATGACAAGCAAGTCAGAATACGATGCATAAAGCATTCCTGTAAGGGAAACGCAAGTTCTTTTTCAGTCACAATCTTCCTTTTAATTTTCCATCCTATACTAGAAATGCATGTTCAAAGGCAAAGATTGTTATACAATTTGTTACAATGTAGACCTGCCCTGCAAGGAAATACAATTTGTCTACATTTACAGTTTGCCCATAGGATTAACTGACATATCACACTGCATACACTTATCTATTTTTATTCCCAAAGGGGAACACTGAACACAATTAGATATAGATGTACAGGCGGGCTGGAGAGTTAGAGCTGGCCATAAATAGCTACAATGTTAGTAAAGCAGGGGAATAAAGCAAACATGGAGGTCCTTTACCTTCTGACTGTGGGTCCTGAGCCTCTTCCTGGGGCCTTCCTCATCGTCCGTAGACTTGATGTCCATCTTTGTGTGGTTTCCTGTATTTCCATGCAATCTACCTTTAGGGGGGGAGGGTGTGAAACTTGTGTGAAAAGACCCAGGAATATTGTTGCTACCCTAATTGGGTTTAACATCTAAACCATACATCCCCACCCTTCTCTTCCACAACATACTACGGGTAAACCCTTCGTGGAGAGGACATAAGCTTGACCGGATTCTATTTAACAAATCAGAAATAGCTAGCTTTCTAGATGTTTATTGGTTCTTGCCTTGAGAAAAGTGATGGATTATGTTTTTTTCTCTTTACTGGCCCCTACTGATTACTGTGCTTTATATGATGCCTGGTTTAAAGAACTTTAAAGTTTTGTTTTTTTGTTCAGCATGCATGAAGACAGCACTTTACCAACACAGAGTAAAAGGTCAATTCTTTTATTTATTGCTGGCTCATATTAACCATTAATCTTATGAAAACATAACATTTGTAAATATATGATGCACAGCGTACAATGAATCACACTTTTTTTTCTCTCCTTGTATTACTAGAAGTCGAATGTGACTGCGCTATGACACTTGAGGTGGGTGCCTCCTGCTTGTGTCACTTATCCCCCTCCCGCCACCATGTATTTTACTCCATGTACAAAACAAATGAAATGGAGAGTTTATTATGTTAAAATGATGCAGTCTGGATGGATTTGCCTGTACATAGACTGTCACGGTCCTGGTAACCAATGTGCTGTTTCTTGTGATTACGACAGGACTTGACTGTTAAAATTAGGTCCACAAAAAAAAAAAAAAAAAAAGACTTGGACGGATATTGCCATGAGAAAAATCGCAGGCTGATGTCCAGGAATGAGGCAGTGAACTCTCACAACTAGAGCCCTAGCTCTGCTCCACACACAGGCGTGAAGTCGAACAAGAAAATAGTGGCAAGAGGTAGAGTCCGGGATCCCAAAAGACACCAATTTCCTGTAGAAACATTAGGAGGCCTAGCGACTCAGACAAAGCAACATCCGCCCAAAATTTACCAGTCCCCGAGCGGACACGGGGAAAAAAAAAACAAAAAAAAACCAAAGAGGTATTTACAAAGTTGTCTTTGAAATGAAGCTCTCTTCTTGAGAAACTAATGAGGTATGATGCTTAGGATTACGAGCATTTTTTTCTTGTAATCACATGGATTAGAGGTCTGCACTGTTAGAATTACAAGCTAATAGGGTGTTCAACAATTAACAGTACTAGAGACAAGCTAACAAGTCTAGTTTCAACTGGCAGGAAAGAGAATCTGATATAAAGGCTGCACAACAAAGCACGTGAAACTGAACACATGAGATCCTTGATTAACATTACATGCAATACGTCTTGTCTTCCCAGAAAAAAAAAAAAAAGGAAAAAAAAAAAAAAAAGGCATCATCACCACTACACCTATATGTATTCAAGAAGCTGTTATTCCCACAAAAGAGGTTTCGTTTACATGAAACTTATTCTGTACCAAATATATATATTAAAAAAAAGTGGACAACATGAATTTCAATTACTTCTTGATCTTGATCTCCTCTTTGGTGACTCTTGAAATCTGTTCCTCTTGATGACCCCTGCGTCCTTCGGAGTTGAACCTTGAGAGATACAGAAGGGTTTTTTTTTTGTTGCGTTTTTGTATTTTAATGTTCCCCATTCAAAATCGGTATCCAATAATTCCATAATAAAATTCTTATACAAAAGGATAGTCACTGTGCCAATAAAGGGAGAGCAGATTATCAGCGTTTTGCAGAACTGTACACAAAACATGGCCACTGAAGATCATGCGTGATACAGAAATCTGTTTTGCATCTCCCCATTGTTTTCGGGTTTGGCTTGGCAAAGTTGAGTAGAATCCAAATAATGATTTTTGTTTCTAGTGGATGACCAAGGTTTTTTTTTTTTGTTTTTTTTAGAATAGCCTGGAATACTGGAAGAGAAGACTGTTCTAGGGACTGAACTTTTCCTCAACAGTGGCTGTGGACCTGAATGCTATACTATGTCACACCATAGGAGTAGGTTACCACTAAAGTGCTTGATAACAAAGCTGTTGGGATGGCTCATGAAATAAAAAATCTATTTTGGAAGGTACTATATCCCTAATTCACAAACTACTTAATTCAGAAAAATAAATTGAATCTGGATCTGCACAGCTTTACTGCAAGTTAAAATTAATGTACGGCACTTGCATCCGGTTCCGAATACAGGCAATTGTAGCTTCTATAGATCTCAGAAATAGATTTGTGGAACCAAACTTGGACTTCGGAAGTTTTCTGAATGGCTCAGTAGGCTCCAATATTCACCCTACAAAATGGCTTAACGTGACACTTAACTGGAACTCCAGGCAACATTCTAAACAGTCGAAATACTCATGTAAACAGCTTTAACTACCAAAATATGGTTAATTCTGCTCAGGCAGTCTTGTGATTCTGCCCTGTGGGGTCACTCCATAACTATGGACAAGCACAGTAACTCTGCCTACTCTCCCTGAGGTCACAAAATCCCACACTCCTGCCAGCATCAAATGCCGGTACACATGTCACTGACACCATTGTGCAATGCTATAGAGCCTGGCTATCAACCAGTAGGGGGAAGTGTATAGTAAAAAAATAAAAATATGTATAGGCGAGTTTTATATTGCATTTCATTTTAATGAATACACACTGATAGGTACGGCTTTTTATAGCTGACTGGATTGTAACGTTGGTGTATAACACACATTTGAATGATATATAGAACACTATTGTTTCTACAGACTTTACAGAAGTGGTGCTTCAAAAGTTCTATCTATACAGTTCCTCAATCCTTTACATTTTAATGAGGGAATAGGATAGCACTTTTTTTTTTTTAGCCCCATTCTAGATTACGTCACACTATCTCATTATATAATGTATAGGTTTATTGTGCTCATAGGAAAACTATGCAAGCTGAGCAGAGGGAATGTCGAGGCAAAACCTCATTCATATCAGCCATTAGTATGTACTTTAGCTTCAGGTAGACAGAAGTGTGCAACACTGTATATTTCTAGATAACGAGCCAGCATGTCACGTACTCTGCCACTACATATTCCAAGTGCATGCTAGTAGCAGGCATCACTGGGGGGAAAAAAAAACTCTGCCATGGCACCGAAGGCAGAGAATGCTGCAGGTCAGTTGATCCTAAACTGGCATTAGCGCTGGCCAAATATCGTCTTTGTTTAATACAAAATTGTTAGTAAATAGCTGGTTTGTGTAACTGTATGCAGTTAGCTTTTAATAAGCTTCCTAGGCCCCCATTCACCCAAATATTTTAGGTGCAATGAGGGATTCCTGCGTCAGGAACTTGCAAACTCCTGCAGCAGGAATCCCTAATCTCCTGCTAATCCAATGTCAAAATCCTAGACTTTATCCAAATTCAAGCAACAAAGCTAAAAACTCACAGCTGAATTACATTTATGTTAACTGTATACCTCCCCTCCTACCCCCGTAGAATCTGTCATTCGGCAGACCCCACTAATGAGATCCACCCTGTTGTCTTTGCATTCTGTAAGCCCATCTAAAGACCCCTTCAAGCTGTTCTGATAAAAACACTTGGACCTGCAACCCAACTGGCTCACAGTGTTGGCACTCCCACGCTATAGCTGCTTTTCGGTCCAGTGCCGGAGATTTCTGAGCAGGTCTTTCGGCACATTATAAACAGGCACCTGTTAATTATTAATTTTAGGGTTAAGTTAAGGTTTGATTATTACTAAACCTGATTTTAGAAATCCTATTATAATTTGATATTTATATTGCGCAAGTATTATTTTTTGCAACATACAACTTATTTTTTTTTTTTTCAATTCCAAAACTGAATATATCAGCTGCTGAAACAGAATGCTTCCAGGTCTGTATGTGTGCGCCGTTATGTATATGTGGAGAGATACGTGTATTTTTTTGACAAAGTTCGTTTAAAAAAAATTAATAAATAAGCAAACCCATAAGCAACCTAATGGATGTTAAATACAGATTTTGGGGGAATTAGAAGCTCTGATTAAATATCCATTTCATGGGGAAACAAAAATGCACACCTCTGCAATATTTAGGTTTGTATGTGTGAGATTTAGGAGAAAATTATGATTTCAAGCAATGAATGCAGATAAAATAATGAATTGTAGTGAATTGACCTTCATTAATTTTTGGGGCATATTTTTCAGATTTGACAACTGTTATTTGTGGAGTTGATATCTCCACTTAAAAAACATGGGCAGTTTTCAGATGCTGAAAACATAATGCATTGCTAATGTACATAGTTAATAAGCGCTTTATAGATTTTAGGTAATCACCGGATCTGAAAATATACTTTATTTTTAAAGTGGAACTACTGGACAAAAGCAAACATGACATATGATGCAGGCTGTTGATGCATTAGCACACTGGTTTTTGCTTGTTACAGTCTCCCCTGTAACCGTGATCCCGCCAGTAGATCTTTTATTTTTCCATTTCCTGTAACAAGTCAAGTTGTCCAGCAAAAGTCGTTGTTGGTCAGGACAATGCTGGAGGGGGGTGCTTACTATGGTCAGCTTTTATTTATATATAGTTTACATTTTTTTTTCTTCTTCTTTTGCAATAAACACCCATTTATGTCACTATTTAAAGGTGGAACTGGGCTTTAATATGCTTGTGTAAGGGCACATGCACATCACTTTGGGTCGTTGTATTCATTATGTAACATTTAAATGGGCTGACAATGCACAGCAATTAACATGCATCATTTCATTCCAGACGCAGTGCACCAAAATACATGGTATGATTTACCATGAATCATGCTGCAATGCAGGTGCCTTCCTTTAGTGCACTAGTGTGCCACTAAAAATCAGCTGACACCACAATACACTAAAGCATGCGTGGTGCATTGTGATAACATGCCCGCGATTACCACAATGCATAGATGTGAATGGGCCCTTACCTAAAGCATAACTAAACTCTGAAAGATGTTACATTATAAAGAATAAGTTTTAGTAGCAGTACATTGAAAAGTTTACATTCTGCTTGTAATTCCTCCAGAAAAATAGCAGTGTACTTCCTCATATGCGAGTGTGCATACAACCTCATAGCTGTATATGTCCAGTTTTATTTCAGCCACAGCTGCCTCCGACCACTCGTCTCAGGAGAATTGGTGATATCACTATTGTGCTGTTTAATGTTCTCCTTGCTAGACGCTCTGAAAACTCTGCCTCTACCAAGATGGCCACCTCCATGTAGAGCAAGGCATGGTAGATCAGTAAGAGATCATTCACATGGCCACAGAGAGCTGTACACCAACGTATTCCTGCACCCAGGAGTCACAAGTGTTTGCCTATAGCAACAGCCAGAAGTTTCTCTGCATCTGTCATTGAGTTATGCAGTTTGTATCCAGGGACGCTCATACGTCCCTGTACCAATGCAACCAGATGTTTAACCACTGTCATTGCTTTGTACAGGCTGCTGGCCTGGACACAAAACACCTATGACTCCCGGGTGCAGGTATATGTTCAACAGTGTACAGACCTCTGCGGCTGTGTGAACAAAGCCCTAATGGGGAAAGATTGGTTTTCCAGGCAATACTGGTGACAAATCATTTGCCTTTTTTTCCTCTCACTTGAAAGGCCATGTCCATCTAAGGTTGACTGTACGCTATACAATCTGGGCGCGCTGCCTTTGCGAGCCATGTGTCATGTCATTTTCTGCTCGGTACCTCAGCTTGCGAGTGCTCGCAGAGCTGAGCGTGCCGAGATGAACAATTTCAACTTCAGCCAATCGGCTTGCGCGTATAAACCAGCGCGTCGCGACAGCTGGCAGGTTGTTACGGACGAGCCGATTGGCTGAAGGGGCGGTCGATCCTCCGA